TTCCTGTTCTCCCTCTCAGTCTTGAATTGCGAGGGCTTTATCGGCAACACCAATGAATTACAGTGCTGCCACAGACCCTCTCCCTCACCCTATTTCCTCTCGCTCTCACTCGCCCAGTTATCTGACCCTTCTGCAGACAGGAACAGGAGCTCACAGCTGTTAGACAGCCAGCCCTGACCTTATGATGTTGGCACTCGTGTGACCTGTGACCCTATGTGACCTGTGTGACCCTTGTGACCTGTGACCCACGTAACCTGTGTGACCGGTGAGCTGCGCGACCTGTGACCCTTTTGACCTGTGATAAGCGCGGCCGGTGACACATGTGACCTTTGTGACCTGTGTGATCTGTGACCTGTGACCCTTGTGACCTTTGGGGCCCTTGTGACCTGTGCTCTCGTGTCTCTCCAGCTGGGGGCCCAGCCCTACATCCCGCGCCACTCCCTGCTGGAGTCGCCCCTCTACAGCTCCCGGCGGCTGTCGGAGCCGCCCAGCCCGACCCAGCGGCCCCTGCAGGTGCTGGACCTGTGGGAGCAGCACCTGGACCCCGTCACGGGCCGCTGCTTCTACGTCAATAGCGTGACCCGTGAGCGATCCTGGAAGCCGCCCCGCCGGGCCAAGGAGCGCGCTGCCAGCCGGGTAACTGCCCCCCCTCTCCTCTTCTTCCTCCTGCTCCTGCCCTGAACTGCCAATCCCTCCCCCCCAGACACGTCCCGGCCAGCATCGGGCCCTTTTCTCAAGCCAGAATGTGCATTTTAACACGAGTAGATTCGCCAGTTAGTTTTGTAGTTAGTTCACCTGCCATGCGATCGCCAGTGGTGGTGTTGCATCTCGGCTTGCAGCGCCAACGCCTGTGCCCACTCTGGGGAGATTGAGGAAGGGCAGACGCACCCCCTCCCCCTCGGCCACCGCGCAGATCCAGCCTGACATGTACGGGGGAGAGCGCTGTCCTCACAGCAGCCCTGCAGGAGGCGCTGTCTTGCAGGAAGCAGGTCGGCTGACCCCAGCCTGCACTCCTGGAGGGGCCGAGTCTGGTAACAAACTGCACTTTTCAGCCGGTCTGATTAATATCTTTTGTTTTGTTTTCAACATGCTGCACCGAGCTCCCTGAAGTTCCTGGTGTTAGAGGAATTTGCATTGTCTCTTATTGTAGTTATTAACTTCCTGTCGTTGCTGTGCTGGAAAAAGTTCTCTTTCTGTAAAGTCAGGTTCCTCTTTTCCATCTGCGGCCGATTCCTCCCCTTTTAACTGCTCCAGGCAGATTGGAGACAACAGGCCCAGTCAAAGGCACCCCAGAATCAGACCTGGTTTTTCTTCTTGCGTCTTTCTTATCATAACTGGCTGTAGACTGCACCACGTGCTCAGCCCACAGATCCAGACCTACACGCTGTCCCTTTGCTGTGCTGATAGGGGGCGTCTTTCCAAGCGCCTGTCTCCAGCTGATCAGCCCCCCCGTCATTCTCTCCCGCTAGAAGAGTTTGCAGTGACATACTGCACATTGCCTCCTCTCTCTCAAGACGCGTACAGGGGTACCCCACACAGCGTGCAGGGATTCTGCCTAAAGCATGTGAGGGTACCTCTGGGAGTGTGCAGGGTACCCCCAGGGAGCATAGAGGAAGACCATGGGCCAGGCTGTGTGAAGGGGTACCTCCTGGGAGCGTGTATGGGTGTTGTGGGCTGAGTGGAGGGGTACCGTGGGCCAAGTGAAGGGGTACCCACTGGGGGAGTGTAGGGGTACCATGGGCTGATGAAGGGGTGCTGCAGAGGGTGTGTAGGACAGCACAGTGAAACCATGGCGAAGCACTGAGAGACTGGTCAATGGTGATAGAAACTGGGGGGAAAGAAAATCACATTATAAACTGCCACTCCAGAGTTCTTGGGCAATCTCCTTGACTGTGGTACTCATCCTGAATCCTGACACGGATTTCTGAAACTGCCCATTTGCCCCGACAATTCCAGCCGCGGCTGTGCCCTCACAGGCATGCCACACTTCTGTCAGGGTTGGGCGTTTCGCAGGGAGGGTGGGGGGTATGGTCTCTAGGTGTCTGGAATTACTTTGTCTTTAGAGCCAGGTGTGCTGTTGTCTTTCAGGGTGATCAGGATGACGCTGTTCATCTCTGATGGATCTTTGATCTTTTTTGGGGGGATGAAATTGGTTGCTGATGGGTGGTGTTTTGAACTTGTATTTTTTAGAATGATCCCTTAATCATTCTAAACCAGTTGATTAATTGTAAAGGGAGACTCTGAACCTTTTGGGTCTGTGCTTCATGAGGAAAAAGATATGTCACCTCTGGATTAATTTATCAAAAGCAGAGCTATTTCCAGAGTAAGTAATTAGAAACATAAGCACTTGTCTGCCCTGCAGGTTCAGCCCTGTGACCCAGCTGTCACTGGTTCTGGGAGACGCCCAGAGGCGACTGTGACACGACAGAGCAGCGCGGAGGTACAGCGTTAGCAGGGTTCTGTCGGGTTCACAGTGACATCATGTAGGGACACAACCCTCCTCAAATCAGCTGTAACTCACCCATGAGGCACTGTGGTGCTCACAGAGTTGTGTATAATTGGTCATTTGTATAAGTTGTGTTTAGTTGGCCATTTCAAATCGGGCTGTAGTCACACAATAATTTTTTCCACTGATAAGCTAATGCCAGGAGAGGAGGCACTTCTTTACCCAGAGAGTTGCAGGGGTGTGGAGCAGACAGCTTGGCCATGATGTTGAAACTGATACCTTGGCTTCATCCAAGCTGGTTGAGATCCTGGGGTCAGAGAGCATCGGCATGATCTCCCTGATGAATTGAGTCCTTGCTGTTATTTGTTCATCCCGGTCGTTTAGAGTGAGGGAGGCTGATCTGTCTGTGCTGACAGCATGCTGTGATGCCAAGAATGCGTTTCTCTAGCGTCCGCCAATGCCCAGAACCCCACAGCCAGTCCCAGCATGCTTGGCGGCACGGCAGGGGGGGTGTCGGACAGGTGGAGCTCAGCCTGCTCGGCAGTCGCCACTGAAAAGGGAAGGCGGTGCGTTCCCACTTCCTTGACAGCAACCCGCATGCACGTACACACACAGACTCCCGCAGAGCAGGAAACGATTGTGGTGATTGTGATCGCCTCTCTGCCTCTCTCCCCGGCCGTGACAGGCTAGTCCTTTCCAGGGAGGAACGTTCCCTCGGGACTCCAACCAGCTTTCGTCCCCAAGTCAGGATTCTGGGAATGGGAGTCTGCAAAAGGTAAGGATGCTGATGGACATCAATGACAAAATTCCCGAAGACCCAAATCCTTCTCGGTAAATGGCAAGCAGCAGAGGTTGGGGAGTTTTTTGAGAGGAAGCCAAACTGCAGAGTGGAAAATAATTGACTGAAAATGTGTTTTTGTTTGTGTTGTGCATTAAGGTTTAAAATATTTCAACACCACTTGTTTCGGGACATTCTGGGAAACATTGTGTAGAAGGAAATGTTGCTGTAGTGCTGCTGGCCTGCAGTTCAGATCACTGTGCTGGTGATGACGCAATGATGATGTCGCGGTGATGTCACTACAGAATGTTCATTCCAAGAAGTTCCACCATCCCCAGGGTCAAGATCGGCTCTGCTACCTTTTTCTGTTGTACAAGATAGATAGATAAGACTTTATTGATCCCGAAGGGAAATTGATGTGTTACAGCAGTCCAGCCCAAGACAAGCAAAAAAAAAACAGACATCAGAATAGACGAAAAATTAGAATACGTACAGTCATACAAAATAAATATGAAATAAAATAAATAAATAAAAAATAATAAATACATAAGTGTGTGGAAAATATTATCATAGTCACTGTAAAAACAATGAAATATGTGCAAAATGTGCATAGGTATATACAGATTGAGTGTCCAAAAAAAGTACAACACTGGCTACTGTCTACAGTAGTGTGACCAAACTCAACACTGCCTTACTCCACAGGTGGTTATGTCTACAGTAGTGTGACCAAACGCTTGTTTATCACTTCTGGTTGATAAACAATATGTTCCAAGAAGTGTTCGGTTAATTTGATCAGTGTATTGCTTGTTGCTTGTTGCGTTTTTTGGAAGGAATGGTCCTGTAACAGATGATCTCTCTGTCTGATTGTCGGGTCTATCTGCTCAGCTGCCCCTGTGTTTATCGGTCTTTTGTGGTAAATGCAGTACAGTAGGAAAGAGTGCGGTTTGTGTGTTCACTACACAGATTGTGACATAGCTGGTGTTCAGATAGTGTTCATGTTGTGGGGATTAGCATGGCTGTAGCAGAGCTCTAGTGTACTCAGGTCCAGGGTGACTGGACAGAGAGATCAGTCACTCTGCACACCAGACAGCACTCCTGTCCTGGTTACCTTGAGACAGTGAACTGGCGTCTGTTGCCAGTGAACTGAATGTGCTCTGCCTTTGCTCTTGTGATGTACTGTAGCTCCCTCACCCGGAAATGAATGAATGAATGAGATCCATCTCTGTCAAAACCAAAACAGGGCCCATTAGTAGGCGCACTGAAGGAGGGGCTGTCCGTTTGCTTGCTCCCCGCCGTCTCCTCCACTCACCCCTGGGATACGACCAGCCTGTGTCCTCCGCTGGCCTCGTGCTGCCCTCCTGGCAGGCACTGTGTCCTGCAGGTTCCTGAGAACGCGGACAAGCTCTACCGGAGATTCTGGATTTTTGGTCCGTCTTCCCTGCTTGGTCTTGGATAGGCAGGAGTGCTTCAGTGGGAGTGGGTTCTGGCTCCAGAGGACAGCTGGTGCCTGCGGAGTGGTGGGATTTTGATTTCCCATGGTTCTGTGTTCTGCGTGGCTCGGCTTTGAAAAAGAGCGCTTAAGGCTGTACTTCTGTAGGCCTGGGTACAGACTGCCAGTGTCATCTCAGCACAAATCCTTGTCTGGGACAGTCGCAAAGAGCAGGGACTCCTGAGCACATGTCCCATCCTGCATCGCCCGCCTTCATTTTTTACCTTTGACCTTTGAACCTCTCCTGCTACTTCAGCAGAGAGGTGTGGTCACTTCTGGCTGGATTGGGGCTGTACTTTTTTTAAAGGCTTTGTGCTTAAGAAAGGGGGCTGTTGTTACAGCTTCGGGGCGCAGGGGGTCACTAGCTTTGGTCTGGTAGCCTAACCCAGTCGCCCTCTCCATGTCTTTTTAAAGCCTCTGAGACCCTGCTTTCCCAGGGATGAACACACTCCTGGTTCGTCAGGGGTGGTTTTCATGAAATCTGCCTGTGAAGGCGCGGGCTGTTGCCAAGACCTTAAAAAACAGACCCCCATGCTCTCTAAGCCCTGTGTCTGAAACCCGAAATCCTTTAAGATGGAAATCTCCCTCACGTTGAGGATTTTGTCCTTATAACTCCCTTCGCCAGGCTTTGCACAATGCGAACAGCACGTCAGCCGTTCAGCTCTCCATGGAAAACGCCAAGTTCCAAAACATCACCAGGAGCCACACACACACAAGAGCGTCCAAACACAAAAACATGGAAGTACCCACATACACACATACTGTACATCGGTAACACCAGGACTGGGCCTGTGCTGCTGATTGTGTCAAGATGTTGGCACGGTCATGCATTTAGACCCGATGGTCTTCCGTCAGTTCATGTGAGTCAACACAAGGAAACAAGGAAATGAAAATAAGAACTGGGTAAAAGAGATGAAATATTAACTGCAGAAAACCACATGGTGAGAGCAGGCCTTTCAGTTCTCATGAGCCTGCCATGTCCTCGATATCCCGTCTTCAGTCTCATCTTGAAAACAGAGTCAGTGCTGTATTCTGTGAAATTGCAAGAACTTTACTGACATTGGAAAAAAAATTAACTCCTAATTCGAGCTCTCATGACTAATTTGTTTAAGCTCTGTAATGAGTCTGTTTGCACCTGATACTAAATGAACTAATCTGAGAGATTAAGGAGAGGAATTCACTGTAATCCAATCCTCGTGCTCCCTTAAAGATCTGGATCCTCATTGGTTAATACATCATCGAGGATGTGGATCCTGATTGGTTGATAGATGATTGACGCTGATTGGCCACACCCCTCTCCCTCACATGCTGGTGTGTTGGGGTCCCTGTGCTGAGGTCCACACGTGTACAAACCCCATGTTCTCGCTCCAAAGAGAAAAGGGATCCAAGTTAAAAAAGGATCCCTGTTTTTTGTTTCTGAAACAATGTTTTTGTTCATCGAAATCCTCATACCGTAAATCAGCTAATTCTGGCTAATCTCCCCCGGCACTGTGCTGTATGGGTTTGTGAAGTGTGTCATTTGAGAAGCCCCCCCTCCTCATTTATCCTTTGGATAAGTAACCTTCACCACCCTGCTCCCCCCAAGGACAACACATACATAAAGATCCTGCTGTATTATACGTTGTACCAATGTTTCATTCTGTTCCTGCCCATTAGTTGTGTGAAGACCCGTTGTTTCTTGAATGGCTCCAGTGCTGGGCGGGGTGGTGACCATGTCTCTGCTGCGTCACAGCGCCTCCACCTGGCCAAGCCACTCCACTGCGCCCTAAAGGAGAGTTAGACCCGATCAGAACAGGAGGTGTGTGTCCCCAGTCGCGTTCCTGGGAACCCTGACCCTCAGTGACCCCCCTCTCCCCCTGCCACATGTGGGTTATCTGGCACTTCGTGGGGGCTCCTGGTGAGTGCCTGCTGTCTTTTTCTGCTCTTAAAGACCTCACGGCACCTCCCCCCACCCCCCCCGGGCCCTACGGAGGTGATTTCCAGTCAGGGAGCCGAGGAAAGACCCTGCCTCCCCTCGGACAGACCGGCTGACGCTGGCAGCTCGAACGCAGGCAGGACCGAGCAGAGGGCTGCTGGGAACGGCTGAGACCACCTGATGCGCCCCCTTGACGTGGCTGTGATGCCCGGAGCCCCTGAGCCAGGCGCTGCGGCCGCTGGCTGGCCGCTGTGTCGTCCCTCCAGCCTCGCAGCAGAGACTGCCCAGAAAGAACCGAGCTCGGAGACAGACTCCCCTCTGCTCAGCTGCCGTGAGGAGCTCAGCTGTGACGCAGGCCTGAGGCCTGGGGTTTTCTTCGGCGGCCGTGTCCCCTGCCCTGCTTGTGCACGCACGCCGGCCAGCTGGCTGACGAATTCCTGCAGCTCTGGCACCTGTTTTAACACGAGGGCTGGGAGGAGGGCAGGGGGTGGGAGCAGAGCTCATCAACTATTCTCGCCTGGTAATGGTTCCGTTCGCGAGCTGCATAGGAGGAGAATAATCAGCCTTGCACGAGCGCTGCACTTCCTTCTTCTCAAAGCCGCAGTGTGTAAAAGAGAGATTATCTTCCTCTTTGAAAGAGGAAATCTCTTTCGGAGCTCCGAGGCTGGGGCTGCGACAGGAGGCTGCGGGCTGCTGCTGATTGAGGCGCGCTGTCTTGTCGCCCCTGGGCATGCGACACCGGGGCCACTCACACGGACCCCTCTCACGCAGATCGATCCCACGCTCGTGAGCTGGGCTTTGATTGGACAGCATGGACCCGATGAGTGAGAGCCTTGTAAGTTGTGATTTGCTTCGTCCGGTAGATCTGCTCTCTCTTCCCGGCCTCCGTGGGGTGGACGGACCTGCTCGTGTTTTGCACGGGGGCTGGGAAGTCTTTGCAGGGAGCGGCTCTCTCTCGGGATGGGTGGGGCCAAAGGTCACGGTCAGAGATTTGATCCAGATATTTTTGGTGTTTTTGCCTTTCTGTGTGTTTGTGTGCGTCTTTCTTGGAAGTTCCTTTTATACTTCAGTGCTTAGGTGCCTTTACGACAGCAGTTCTCAGCCCAGAGAGCGATGCCCACTCTTCTCAAAGTCCTTGATGCAAACATTTGAGTTTGACTTGCAGGGAACATTGTGAATCATAGAAGGGGTGATTAGAAAAGGGGTTTGTGTGTGTGAATTTGGGGGTGTTGGGGCAGGTTGGGCTGGCATTCTGTAAATTCTTTTCATGGTGATCTGTGGTCTGAGCAGTTCCAGAAAAGGTTGGTGTCACTGCGGTCACGTTAAAGAGATGTTTTATCGTTCTGAGTTGAAATGGAAACGGGCTTGGAGGAAACTGCACCCTGCCACTAGAGAAATGGTCACAGAGCCAACTCTGTTCACCAATGGTCACTTGTTCACCAATCAGATATGCACATTAAGCAATGATTTTGTGCAAATAATGCACAAGGGAAGCTAGGAAAATAAAAATCCAGAAAGCACGCAAACGCGTATCAGTAGTCTTACTGTCCAGTTCTGTGCTTCTCTGCAAACGTTTCTGTGAACTTTTGTCAGCCGCTGTGTGTGTTTGTCAGGATTTCTGGTGTGGTCAGAGTTACAGCGAAGGAAGGTATGGCAACAGAGAAATTTATGGGCTGTGTTGCAAAATGTTTTTTAAAAAAAGAATTTCCTAACATATTAACTGCTTGTACTTGTCTGCCAAGCGCAGGCTGGTGTGACGTTGTGAAAAAGGTGACATTTTTAGGAAGCCATATAAACATATAAAAAAGAAACAGGCTTCTGCTGGTGGGGGGTGTGAAATCTCGCTATGAGTTTGCTGAGCTCGTGTGAGACTGTCCGGTCTGTGACCCAGGTAGATGGGTGGCTAAGGGCACAGTCCCCTGCAGTTACAAGCGCAGCATGATTCCACACAGGCTCAGGACAGCGCTGAATCGATTCAGGCAAGGGCTGCGGGGCGGTGTAGCTTTTAGCACCTCTCCCACATACTGTAGATGTCTGGTTGTATTCTCGGCGGGGACACCTTCCCTGCGGAGCTTGCATGTTCTATCTTCAGGCTCCCTGGCCTCCTCCCACTTCCAGAAGACCCGCCGGGTGGCCTGTTCCATGAGGAGTGGGAGAAGGGGCTCCATCGGCCCTGCTTCCTGCCCGGCGTGCTGGAGTCCTGCTCCGTCGTCAGCCCAACGTAGTGTCAGGCAAAGAAGAAGACTCCCGGAGAGAGACATGGGAACTCGAGAAGGACTCGCGGAAAAAACGCCCACGTGGGATAACAAAGAGAGAGGCTGGGCTGGAGCAGGGAGAAGCCCGCGGGACGTCTATGTGTGAGTGGGCTGGACACAGTCAGGACAGCAAGGACGGATCATCACTGGACTAAGGTCATGCCAAACTGGAGGGCTGGACACCAGGAGTGTCTAAGAAGATGCCCTGCGTAGGAGTCGATTGGATGAGCAAAACTGAGACTGGAGGTCATAGAAGAGTCTCAGGGAGGAGTTGATGCAGAATTGAAGGGTGAAGGCTGAAGATGGCGATGATGATGGTGATGTGTGTGTAGATGTTCAACATTTTCAACAATAGTTGGCCTAGCGTTAAAACTTTCAGAACATGCTGGCAAGTAAGCCCAGTGTGAAGGAAGAGTAGGTCACGTTAATTTGAAGTGCGCAGCAGGACTTTTTGACTCTAGTGCAGCTGGTACTGTGGACTGAGGCTTGGGCTCGTTACGGAGGGGCAGATCCAGTATCACGGGCTGAGGCTGATCAAGGAGCAGAGCAGGGGAACCGGTATATCGTCCATGGTGTGGACGTCCACTCTCAGAGCCAGACCAGTGAACTTCTTCAGAGCTAGCACAAGCCTCAGGGACAAGCAGGAGCTATGTCGAGGTGTATGTAGTATGGAGAGCAAGAAGGACAAAGGGTGGTGGGAGTGTGGAACAAGCTACCCACCCGTGTTGTGGAAGCTATTGTCGTGGTTTCTTTCAAAAAACCACCGGATGAGACCCTTCAATCAGGACAGTAGGCATTACTTTGCACGAAGAGTTGGGGGGGTATGGACCAAGTTACCCCAACGTGTTGCTATAGCTGAAACCCTGGCTGGATAAGATCCTCAGCTCATTGAGCTACTCAAAACCCAAATGATCTCTGATCTGCAACCTCTCTTGTGTGGCCCTGACCCATAACAGTCTACAACATGACGCTTAAAAAGAGCCAAAGCTACTGTAGCTAATACGTAACCGCCTCAGAAGGTGCAGAAAATATGTCTAATTAAGTGACATGAGAAAATGGTGCCGCTGAAAAGGAAGAGGAAGGCGGATGCACGGTTTATCAGTTACATTGCCGCGCAGTCTGTTTAAAAGGTGTTAAAGGCAGGTGGCAGTGTGCGTCCCTTGTATGAACGCAGTCACGGGGCTAAGGTGTGCTGCTCTCCTGTGTTACAGCTCTCTCCTGGCTCCAGCCCAGTCACCTACATCTACAGCGTGCAGGACGCCGACAGCAGCTGGGAGCTGAGCCAGGTAAGGCGCACCCTCACTCTCCGCCGGTGAATGCCAAAGTCCCAGCCCCTGTCTCCGCCTGCTCCTTTTCAGAGCACGGCACGGCCAGCTCCTGTCTCCACAGCCAGCAGGACAGTCTACGCTGACCCCTTCTGTGGGGATCCGGCAGAGATCGCCCGAGCCGAGCCAGTCTGAATTGCTTCTGACGTGATGAAGCGAATGTGGATTGAGTTATCCCTGAACAGCTTTAATTGGAATCAGTAGCCCTTCATTTATTTAATCTTCCGTTACTTAATCAAAGAGTGAAGTGCTAATAATAATGTTTAATGTAGGACTATATTGTAGTTACAAAGTCAAATATCTGTACTTTAGGTGTATGTTAGGGCGGCACACTGTTGCAGTGGTGAGCATTGCTGCCTCGCAGCGCGGGGTCCCTGGGGTCAAATCTGTGTGGAGTCTGCATGTTCTCTCCTGTGTTCATGTGGGTTTGTTCTGGGTGCTCTGGTTTCCTCCCACAGTCCAAAGGCATGCATGCAGGTAGGTGAAGTGGGTTCTAGGAAAACTGTCCCTGGTGTGACTGTGTTTGTGTCTGTGTGTCTGCCCATGATGGACTTGCGTCCTCTCTAGTGTCCAGCTCCCCCACAGCCCTGAATTGGAAAAGTGTTATTGAAAGAGATGTGATTGTGTCATACACGTGTATTACATTTTAGTTGCTGTTGAAATCTGTTCAACCTGACCTTCGTCTCTTCCTTACAGAATATCCAGCGAGCTGCATCCTCCGACGCCCTGAATAGCGCCCCCTTCAGCCCCACTGAGGCGCAGCTCCGGAACAGCAGTGCTCTGCCCAAGATCGAGAGGCTGAACCACGCCCGCTCCATGATCCTGACCGAGCAGAGTGAGGCCAAGGTATGGGTCCCACGCTGCACCTCTTTGCTGTCCTTCCACCGACTTCCAGTCAAAACCCTGTCAGCCAGCACTTTTCAGACTAGGATATTTACACTTTTTTTTTTTTCCAGTGACGACTTTTGTAAAAGAGAAACCTAAATCTTGTATTAACGAATGTATTCATCACACCTGTGTAGTATTCTGGTACATCCTTTTGGAATATGAAAAGTTCCTCTAAAACGTGTATCTTTAGTTGAAACAAAGGGCAGGGGGAACCTGATTTTATTTTATACCCGAAGCGCTCTTTGAGAATCCTTTTAGTCTGAGAAGTATTTCTCGGCTAGGCTTTTTGGTGTTCCGGACAGCCGTCAGTTTGACAGGAACAGTGCTGTGGTTCGAGCAGTGACAGGGTGTATTGACCGCGTGTCAGCCACACCTCTGCCTGAATTGGTCTTCTCCCCCTCTCTGACATCAGGCTCAGGCCTGCTGTCCCTCTCTCTCCTCTCTATCCTCTCTCCTCTCTTTCTCTACTCTCTCTCTCCTCTCTCTCTCTCCTCTCTCTCTCCTCTCTCTCTCCTAGATCTTTCCTCTCCCCTCCCTCTCCCCTCTCTATCCCCTCTCTATCCCCTCTCTCTCCTCTCTCTCCTAGATCTTTCCTCTCCCCTCCCTCTCTCCTCTCTCTCTCCTCTCTCTCCCCTCTCTCTCCTCTCTCTCTCCTAGATCTTTCATCTCCCCTCTCTATCCCCTCTCTCTCCTCTCTTTCTCTCCTAGATGTTTCCTCTCCCCTCTCCTCTCTCCTCCCTCTCTCTTTCCTCTCTCCTAGATCCTTCCTCTCCCCTCTCCTCCCTCCTCTCTCCAGCAGGGCTGGGGTGCCTGTGATTTTGTTGTTGTTGCTGCTGCAACAATCTGGATGTTTAGGAACAGGAATCCTCGTTAACAGCGTTACTGTGGTCACAGTGACAATTCGTTTTAAGTAATACAGAAATATCATAGGAACAAGAAACAAGCCATTCAGCCCATTGGGCCTGTTTGTTAGTCAGTAGTTAACTGACCTGAGGATTTCAACTAGTTGTTTCCTGAATGAAGCCCGAGTATGAGGTTCAGCCATGAATGGAAGAATGGAGGTATGGGCCTATTCCCACAACTCTTTAAGTAAGGAAGACCTCCTTGTCACCCTCGAACGCTAACTGTATCCCTTTGTATCTCTGACCGAACTGCTTTGATTAACGGTGATGCTTGATTTAGTGGTGTATTAAACAAATATTCCCGTGTCTTCAGTTGTGGAACTTGTATTGTACAGTCTGGTATAGGCTAGCTTGAGCTGGTCTTAGAGACCACCAAATGCATGGAACAGACCACCAAATTCAGTGCTGGAAGCTGATGTACTTAGCTGTTTCAAAATGCAGTTAGACTCCATGATCTGATCGCTTATTGATCAGATCTCTTACTGTATACAGTATATAGTATCATTATTGCCCATCACATGTTGTAGATTTATTCAATTATGAGAAGCACAAGATCTGCGAAGGAGGTTAAATTGGTCCAATTAAGCCTTAATCGAGCTCTTTGAACCCTTGGCCCCAGAAAAAATAGTTGGGATCTCACACGGGTGCCCTGTTTGACCTCTTCCCCAGATGGCCCAGCACCGCAGAAACATGTCTCATCACGTCCTGGGTGGCAGGGGCATGGAGCCCCTCTCCCCGATCAGCTCTCCGGACAGCTCTGAGAGCACCACCCCGGTGAGCGCCCCCCGACGCCCTCCTCCCACCAGCCGATCACGATTCGTGTTCTAGTGATGCCCTAACGCAGCGCACACCCTCCCATAAGCTGGGGCAAAGTCAGGTTGCTTTAGGGGTATAATGGCCTTCCTGCTGTGAGTACCCCTGTTCTTTTCCAGGATCCCATCTTTTTTTTTTAAAGACGCATGAAATGCATAGTTTCCTACGTGTTTGAGACTCGTGCCAACATTACAATTTGCTCGACACCTTGTTTCATTGTTTCCTTTTGATCGCAGGAGCTGGAAAAGGCCGGCATGCTCAATAAGACTAAAATTGCTGAAGGGGGCAGGAAGCTAAGGTGAGATGCAGTCCTTTCTGTCTGTGTCTAGCCGGTGGTCTCACTCTTACAGGTGTTTGTCCAATTATCTGACCTTCATTAGATTAATGATCTGATATTTTTTGTCCTTCTGCTGCACATTGATGCAGGGAGTATCTCTGAGCTTGGATGTGTTGCTCAGAGTTATGTATGTCAACATCTGCACTGCAATGTCTTTGCTCAGTCCAGTGTTGCACAAGGGCTGTGCAGGGTTATTTAGTTAATACTGTGTGCTGGGACTGTTGCTGCACAGCTGTGGTTTGTACAGTACTGTGCAGCTCTCTGCAGTGTGTTAGCCCTACAGCCTTTCCAAACTGGTGTTTTTCAGGAAGAACTGGAATGCCTCTTGGGTAGTGCTGGTGGGGAACAGCCTGGTTTTCTTTAAGGACCCCAAAACGCAGACGCCCTCCACTTGGGTAAGTCAGTGCGCCCCCTGGTGGAGATCCCTTGCCACAATCACAGTGCAGCCCTGTGGATGCGTACTGTATGTGTGCCTGCCAGACTGCAGAAGCACAGCTGCCTCTAACGAGTCAATGCAGCAGACTTCTTCAGAAACCATGAAACAA